GGCACCTTACTCACTGAAGCAAACTGCTGACACCTTTTTTAAAAAGTGACAACTACATCTATTTCATGACCAGAAATCCATTTTCATCTCTATCAAGACAAGAATGCAATTTTCACTTCATTTAACTGATGTTAGGCCTGCTCAAAGCATGACACTTAGAAAGAGACACAAGTTTAAGGTTCTTAAAATACTTCAAGTAACTAGAATGCAGCTTGGTTTCAGGAAAAAAAAAAAAATCAACACTCAAATCTACAAACAACCTAATATTCTAAAAAAAATTACTTATCAGAACCTTCAGAAGTAGTTTTCATCTCGAAATGACTGTCACGCTATTTTCATGTTTTTAATAGTACATTGTGTTTACATATTATAGATTTTGTTCCAAGGTTTCAAAGGATAATTAAGAAATTTTTTAAATATTGAAATATTTTAAGTGTTCTCACAGAAAGACTAAGTCAAAGAAACAGCTCAATTTTTAAAGTATATACAGAAAATAAAATAGAAATAGTTATTCATTCAATAATGTAGAACCAATAAATTATTTTAATTGACACAGGATCTGAAAAGACTAACTTTAAGCACTTCTTTTTTGAAAAATTAAAATACTAAGATTCCTTTTTAAATACTTTATGCAACAAACAAATTTTGTCAATAATAAATGTAATTCAAGCATATTTTGAGCTGAATCAATTCTGGATATAATTATATTATACTGTTGTTTGATACCTAACTACCAAACTTATTGAAAGTGTGGATAAAGTGAGCCAACATTTACTTACACAATTTTTTAAACAAAATTTAAGTGCTTTGATAGAGCTTGGTTTTAGTATGTTAACAAAATACATTTCAATTTTAAACGGCAAAAACAATATATACTGAAGCTAGATGGTTATTTCCTCATCAAATAATATGCCCACAAAATAAATCTGCAATATTGTTATAATTTAAAAAGTAAAACCTAATTTTTGAAATAGAAATTCAGTACCTGAGATCGCTAAACACAATACGTCAAATATAGAACTTTTACATATAGCATATATAACAGCATCCAAAAAAGTTAACTTGCTTAAATTAATAAACAAAAGAGACTACATACATGCAAAAAAATTTAAATTTAAATCACTCAGGCCAAAAATTATATAATCCTCAACAAACTTTATTAAGTAATGATTTATTACAAATAGCTCAAATACACATTTCTAAATTAAAATTACAGAAATAAAACATTTTCCCGCAACTTCAGACATAAATAGAAATTGCAGTGTTTTTCAATACACTACCAAAGTTTAGAAAATACCCCAAGAATTTAAGAAATACTGGAGAATACTTTGGTTTATTTATTTTGCTTTAAGTAATCAAATCAGCTAAAATTTAATCTCAAACTTAATCATTTTATTCCGAAGTGCTAAAAACTAGGAGTAGAATTAAAAATTTCTTAAAATTTCATAAATTCACAGATGCATTTTTTCATGGCTTAACGAAATCAGGGGCTATGACTCTCTTCCAAATTAAGATGGTGCTTATCATATTATAGTTAGATACTCATTTCCCTTTTTTTCTCTCTGAATTTCAAAAATAATTATGCAATCTATAAGAACTGTTAGGTCATACTGTGAACAGCTTTACATGATTAAAACTGAAAGTTCATAAGCGTTTTTAAAAATTGTATTAAAAAAAAAGTGCTATACATTCTTTTGTAAAAGTCTCCAGGAATTTTGTTGGTTTGGGGAAAAATTCAAACTTGTGAAGACATTTTCAGAAATGAGTGTTTCTCAAAAATCACATTTGTACTTAACACTGCCCATCAGCCATTCTGAGTCATTATTTGTATAGCTGCCTGGCACAGTTCCATACACATTTATGCATCTTTCTGAACAGACTACCATATTTTGTTTACTGACAGCAACTAAAAGCTCTATGTAGGATCATAAATAAAGAAGATCATGTTTAAAAATCACTAATATCATTTTAAAAGGTAGTGCAGCCTTGTGTTTTGGCCTCTGCTTAGCTGTGTTAGGCCTATGAATGACAGCTTCCCTGCTTGAAGCACACAGAAAGCACAGCCTTCCTCATTCACTGACAGGACTGTGGCCTTTTCACACGTTCCTTCCACAGCAGTGTTTGTCCCCAAACACTAGAACTCGACACAATGGCATTCCTACTTCAACACCCCCACCAACAGCACCACTACATAACAAGAATGCTAATGAGATGGAACAGGCCCTGTCACTGAAAGTGTTAACTACATTTCATAGGAATGCATTTATGCAATTGCAAAGATTACCAATTAAATAGATTCTGCTTAGCTCCAAGCAATTTCTAAGATGTTCCCACTTTTAAGGAAATAAATGTGATAAATGTAAGACTAAGTGACTTTATGCTGTTCTAAATATAATATCTCATTTTAATACACACGAATCAGTATATATTTAAGACCACCCTAATGTAGTGTGCTTAATTCAGTTGCATGCTATAACAGCCAAGCTAAAGTTAAAAATTGAAAAATGAGTAAGTTCGTAAACATAAAACCAGTCGCCCTGACTTTTCTTTTAAAGCTATATTAACGCGATTTATTAAAAGAAATTTCCTTTGGGAATGACAAAATTTAAAGCTTATATTTTGACAGACATCAAGACAATATTGTTGTTTTTATATGTGATCTCAAAAGTGAAATAAATTGAAATAATATGAAGAAAAATCTAATCATATGATTTATAAACTTTAATTTGTTAAGGAAATAGGAATCATCACCTAACTCCATTTCACCTATCTAAAGATTCTTTAACACAATCTTATACAAAACTAAATAGAAAAGGCTATACCAAAGGTCAAATGAAGTAAGTGTAGTTCAAACAAAGTTCATTAATGCTTCAGAAGGATATTTGCTAAGAAATCCCACTCACAAATAAAGATATTGTCAGGCTTAACACCTAAGCATTGATGGTCTGATAAGGATATCACTATAGTGAATTCTCTAAACATTCAAATAATTTTAAATTAAGTCTTGGTATAACACTACAAAAGAAGAAAACCTCAAGCATACATAAAATAGAGCACATCTAAAGCAACAGAAATTTACATAAAAATGCATAATGAGCAAATTTCTGCTTATTTTTCTTCATTTTTATATTTCAAAATAAAACTTAAGTATCATATTAAAACTGCTGAATGGAAAGCTCTGAATTACAACTTAATGGAAGAAAAAAGCTTTAGGAGAAATGGCAGAGAGCATAGGTTTCAAAATATTCTTAAATTCATATAATGTTGAAATCTTTACAGATTTCCCAAACAGACAATTACAGAGACACTAAAAGGTTAAATTTTGTTCATAATTTAATATTTAATAAAATATGTTTTTCATCTATTTTGAATCATAAAGAAATTTTTTAATTAAAGCACTAAGTAATTCTGAAAGTATTTTTTTCTTACAATGCACAGAGCTCTTTTAAATCTAGTATAGCAATTTATACTTATTTAAATTTTACATGTTTAAGACAGTGGAAGAAAAACATGCCATTACTTTCTGGGATGTTTCTTATTTCTAACACCCTTACTTGAAATAAAACTTAGAAAATGTTTAAATTTGTCTTTAGATTTTATTTAAACAGTGCTTTTCTTGAATTGGAGAATTGTCTCATTATTTCTTCTAACATTAAATAATTTTAATTTTCAGTAAGTGGAATCAAGCCACATAATTTCAAATAAATTATTGTAATGCAATTCATCATGATCCATTTTACAATATCATTATATCTTAAAACGTAAATATTACAACTAAAATAATTTAATCTAAATGCAATAAAATATTTTATACTGGTTTCTATATATAATGACTTAATAGAGAACATTAGTTTGGATTTTTATTTCTTTCATTGTATTATTACGAATAGCCTTATCTATTATAATTATTAACCCTGTTTCTGGATCTGCTGAAATTAAAGAGTCAAACCAAACACATTTTGCGAAGTTTTCGTGGGAAGATGTTTTTCGCTAATTCTGGATACCTTAGTACAACACTTTCTTCCAAAGTCAGTACAAGTTGTTCTTTTCCAAACTCTACAGCAGGAGGTGCTGTGTGAACACTAAGACTGACAGCCCATTCCCACCTCCCCTTCCTCTCTGCAAGCAGAGAATAATAGCATGATGCTTTCAAAATATTCATTTTTCAGCAGTCTGTGGTCTCAGATAATGAGCCCAGTTCTAAACTGGAACCTCCCAGTTCAAAATGTAAAACCCAGTCCTTATTTAGCTTGGTAAAAATATGTGCTTCAATTCTTAAAACCAAGTACAAAGAGGATTTTTTAAATGTGGCAATTTCATTTTTATGTTATAAATGTCTTCGTAATTCTGCTTTACAAATGTGAATCATACTTTAAGATAAATCAAAAGTCCCTATACATGATTATAAAAATATCACCCTTTACACACACACATACAAATATGAAATAAATACACAGGAATTAAAGAACAAAATCCAGTTTAACCTGATTCAAATAAACTAACTCTGTGTGTATACTTTTGACTCCTGAAACAGAGAAGTTATATAAGGATAAATGAAGTTACTCTTGACATGAAGTTGATTCGTGATTTCATTTTTCAGAATGTGATTTGTTGTATTCTAACCCCCATAAATCTGATTTTATGCTGGAAAAAAATAGAATGCTAAACACTTAAACCTTCAAATGACTTAGGAGCTATTTATTTTCTTAAAGTAATAGTTTATAGAATTTCCACGTAAGAAGTTGCCTTCACTTTGCCCAGTATGCGCTGCAAGAAAAGATGAGACATATGACATCTTATACCAAAAGACAGACACAATTAGCTCCATTATTGTTGGCTTTGAGATTACAAAAGCAGCATTTTTGGCTCCCTAACGGGCACTGAGCTCACAAAATACATGTCACAGTTCTTTTATGACACAATGCCAATCATTGCCTCTATACAACCAAGCACATTTTTAAAACATATAATAAAGCAATTTTTAAAGAGGGATGACTCACCTGTTTATAATATTTTTTTGTAGACTTTAATCGTTGGTACAGGGCCAAAAGAACTCCTTGGATGTACATCTTAGCTCCTGAGGGGCTGAAACCTTCTCCCTTAGAAACCCAAAGTGGTCCCCGCAAAGGTGTGATGGAATTTTGCAGGCATTTTTCAAGCAGAGGAACTATGCGAGAAAAGAAAAAAAATTCTTTTGACCCAACCCAACCGAAATACACTGCCTGGAACACAGCCCCAATACCAGAGCTAACTCTTAACATCTATTATTTATATCTGACCTGGGTTAAGTCTTAGAGAGGCAATTCCTGCGTTACTAGTGGCCACCATGAAGGATGTATTTATATTGAGACACCCCCCATGCAAGACTCATAAGCTTTGTGAGCACACCTGAGTAGTTCTGAAGTGTGCCTAACTAGCTGCACAGAGTGTCATGGTGTGCACTGATTGCCTTATCTTCTCATTTATCACAGATGAGTTGGAACCAACCTTGCTGAAATCTACTTGCATTGTCCTGATAAAATTGTAAGATCCATGTTGTTTCTGTATATAGCTTCTTGTAGAGGAGTCTATATACCTAAAACATCACATCTGGAAATTATTCATAAAATACAATCCACACCTTTATAAGCCATCCTATTTGAAGATTTTTGTTGCATTCCTTAAGTAACCCATACAACAGGATGGCAAGACTGTTTAAAAATAGCAGGGAGAATTTTAAGCAAGCAGTTTATCACACCTTTCTTTTTTCAGTTTCTGGAATAGGAAACAGTCAAGGATTTAGGAATGCTATTCCAGCATGCGTTTTGTAAACAGATAAAAGATATTTACTTATGGGTATGTACTGCAACATCCACAAGGAGTTGACAAACATGTTCATACACTTTTTCACACGATTAGCTTATAAAGTCTTTCCAGTGTAAAACAGTCCAATAACACGGCAGCTAGCTAACATTTTTCAAGATTTAATTTTCCTCTGAAAAGCCAGAAATCAAGAAATAAAAATGGCACACTTGGGAATCCACAAAAAGTAAATATTTTTCTGTATTTGGTCATTATTTAAGTATATACATGTGACACAAACTTAAACATACATAATAACTATATGTATTAGCTACCTTATTCTGATACACATTTCTGCTACAAAAAGGAATTAAATAGATCACCAACAAAGAAAATAGGTCCGGCAAAGAAAATAGGTCATGCTGTTAGTTATGTTATATGTTGCATATTTTATGCAAAGAGGCCTAGCATAGCAATCTGGAAATTGAATTACAATTAGGTTCAGCTGAGCTGCTGAGAGGCTGAGTTATGCAAATGACCTTTGCTACTGGTATTCTGCTAAATTTTGCTCTTGGTAAAAAAGTTATGCATTTCATGGCACTAAGTTCCACAACTCTCTAGCAAAGCATAATATATAGTCTGTCTAATACGTTCAACACTAAGGAGAATGTTGAAAACAGGGTTCAAGATTTTGCTACTAATATAGTATAAATAAAGTTAGGAGGAAATTATGAGCCAATGACTGCTGAAACATCTTCTTAGATGTATGCATAAAATTCACTTATTTAGCTTGAGAAACTAATTCCTGAAATTCATCTATCAACCCCATTTTTATACTCTCTTAGAGTAATTGCTTTTCTAAGTTTTATCATAACAAACACCTCAAACTTAAAAAAATATAAGATCATAAATATTATAAAAGCAATACAAATTAAAAGATAAATGAGCTTATATTCAGAATTATAACTCTTCGACCTTTAAAAAATGTAAAATATAAATCAATCTTGATTACAATTTTTTTCAAAAGAAACCTAGCTTAAGAATCATCAGTGCTTTTAGTTTATTGCTACACATTCATATATTACTATGCATTAGATTTTAATTCATATACCTTTAATTGGTATACTCATTGAACCTGCCATACTTTTTGAACACTGTAAGGCACTACATAAATAGATACTAAGTTGAAATAAAATTTAATAAATTGAGCAGTAGATGATAAGCTTGAATGATTTACACCCTAGAGTTAATCTTGAATTTAAACACGAGAAAATTTTATCAGATTCTCTATCTATGCTTGTCACAAAATAACTTTCAAATTCTTTATGTCAGCCCAAGGGACTCCAAAAAAAGCACTTACTAGATCTAACAACAAAAATTCTAGGTTTTTCAAAGTTTACACTGTCCATAAGAATTTTAGAAAAAAAAATACAGCTTAGAAAAAAATTAAAACTATACCACAGCATAAGCAGTGTCAGAATTGATACTGGATGGAAAACAGCTCCCATGTTCCACATGATTTATGTAATTAGGAATACTATGGAAACCAGAAATAGCAAAGCAAAGAAAGCAGTATTCAGAAGCAGGTTTTATAAGGGACTTCAGAATCTGCTCTGAACTTGTTGAATAATCTGTTCAGTATTCCAGAATCTCCCTGCTGGAAGCAGGGTCCTCATTATAACCACGAGAGCACTAATAAAGGTTAGCCTCTGAACTAGGGATTAGAAGGCTCTTTCTTTTTGGAAGCTGCAAACTAGTAACTTTGATGATCTTCTTGAAAAGGAAGACAAAGCACACTCCAAGAACAAACAATGTTTCCACTAACTAGGAAGGTACAGAAAACATAAGAAAATGATACGCCTAAGTACTTAAAAAGGATATATAAATCAGCCTATGTTATACTAAAAAATAATAATATTTATTAAGCAGTTAGACTTAAAGAACTGTCCATTTAAAAAGGAGACTTGGCCTAAAATGCACTTTTAAAATATTATTGAATAATTGATTTTTTAAAAAAAGAAGTCGCTTGACTTTTTAACCTCAACCATAGATTTTAACATGGATGTGAATTAGTTATTTAAGTGTTTTAGTGGATATTCCTAATATTCTATACCAAATCATAGCTCATAAGTACTCTTAACCAATGGTTTTCTTCTCTTTTATGTAGAGTTCCCTTTTTCCCTTATTATTTTTGTGTCCTTCCAACCATGTGCTTTTCTGTCTTCAAACTATTATGTAGAAATATTGCCTCATTCAAGAAGGTTATCCTATGGTCTTTTAATATTTGTGTGCATAACAACACATAAACATTTCTTCTTATGCAAAAGGCCTGTATTACAGGTGTTCTACCTAGTTTCTCCTGTTCGCATGATTGTGGTAAGAACTTCTCTTTTCTGTATTTTCATTAAGCTAGCCCTCAACATTTCATATCAAATGGTTTGGAAGTTGATCATCCCTTAAATTTAGCAATTATGCATATATCAGTCAAATGGAATCATTTCACTGGGATCATTTCCACCCCTGGAAAGATGAAAACCTATGTGGATTATTACTTTTTATTCCTTTTGTTTCATCTCAAGTTATGATTATATGGCAAAATGAAAATTAATCCAATCATTTCAATGAGTTTGGCGCTAAGACTGAGGCTGTTGATAACTCATGTGACCAAAAAGAGTAACTTAACTGGACAGAGCTGGTAGTGAGCATCATGGGTAAACAGATTATATAAACAAAACTAGTAGCTATATTAATTTCATAATTATCAACTGACACCTTTCTCACTCACACTGTTTCATTCCTTTCCCATTTTCTCCCCTCTTTTCCTACCTATTAATATATTATTATCCTTCAAGGCTCATATCAAATGTTACCACCTCTGGCAAAATATCCTAAATGATTTAGGTGGAATTAATTGCTCCCTCCTCTATGCCTCCCATAGCATTCTCTCTTTTTTGTTGTTGTTGTTTTTTGTTTCTTTTTTCTTATCAATTTGTATTAGTTGATATCTTCTCCCCTCCCACTTTCATCCCCCAGTAAATCCTGAAACCTTCTGGAGTTTGTGAAAGCAGTGCTCAACAAATGTCTACTAGATGAATAAATGTTACTGCAGATACACTGTAGACAGTCTTCTGGGTAAGTTTTAAGAACATAACTATAACTATCTACGATCATTTAGAAACTGTAACTTTCTATAACCTAAAAAAATTTGATCCAAATTTGTTAAATAAACATGAATATTCCTGAATTTCAAAGCATATTTAGGATGTGTGCAACTGTTTTTATTTTAATTTTCCTTATATGATTATGAAGACTAAGGAGGAAAATAAATATAAAAAGAAAGCCATAAGATTTGGGAAGGAAGCATTAACTAGACAGAAGGCCAGAGATGGGTATTTTTTAGAAGTCCTTGGAAAACCCTTACATACTTTATCCTACCTTGTCATAAATCATGCATCTATAGAAAAAGGCACATAATAAAATTTAAATGCAGAGCAATAATATTAGATTAAGGTCAAAATAACTATTTTAAATAAAAAAGGTAATTTCTTCTAAGAACCCCAAAAATGAGTTCAAATGTTAAATAAGAAAATAAACTGTTCAGTCTTCAAGAGGATCTTATATTAAAACTATTTCATCACTGATAAGAAGCGTGAACTTACTTGGGATACATAATGGAGAAAGTACATGACAAGGAACCAAAAATCCCTCTAAAGAGAAACCACAAAGCTAATCAAATTTGTCTATCAGATTTAGACTGGAATATTCTGTCATGATCTATACCTAGGGAATATATATCCCTCTCCAAAAGCAACATCCTACATTGAAAGGGCTACTTTGCATACAGCATTTCAATCTAATATGGAAAGCTACAAAGATCAGGATTTTTTATTAATAGCATTTCAGGAAGCACAGGGAATAATCAAAGGCTTTAATAACTTGCTTACAAAAAAAATTAAAAGTCATGACAATTAAATATCCATAACCATAATTTACATAATATTGTAATTTTCACATTTCAGTCAGAGTACATGAGACTATGAAAGAAAAGCACACTGCCCAGAGTATAGTTACCTATAAAGAAACTTCTATATACTCTTTGGCAGCAAGCTGCTGGTACAACTTCTAAAATACTTGGCTATTGCTAACAAGATATCATTTAGAAATACACCAAGGCATTTGGAAATTTCCCACCAATTCAACCAGTTCAACTGGCATTTTTTTTTTTTTTTTTTTAAATGAAGTTGACCTAAAAAATCTTCTTTGGTCAAAACAAAGTAAATTCTTAAAAGATACTTAGATGCGACTGCTTCCCAGTCCAGGAAGTATGACTGCAGAGAGTTTGAGCTAGTGCCAAGGTATGTGTGTATTTTAATGTTCCTTACCCAG